GTTAACCAGGTTGCTGACGGGATCAACTGCCTCCATTACAGTGTACAGAAGCTTGAAAATTACACTGAGGAAGCCTTTTTGGCTATTGGAAGTAAAACAATTGACAGTCACCTCTCTGATGGCGTTCCGGGACCGCACAGCGGTGGATGTGCTCTTGGCTGAGGCCAATGGAGGGTGTACGATATGTGGTGAACGGTGCTATTCAACCACGCCCGGAGGGCCCCGCACACTGAACCGGACCATTGTGGCGTGACCACGCCCTTGTCATCAGAATTAGTGGGTAAGACCTTTGTGACATTTAAAAAAGAAAAAATGGTGTGTTAATCTCTCTTACATTTTTTTCCCCGGCTATCTTGACATTGTGTGGATGTTGCTGCCTTTCCTGTATCAAGGCTCTGCTTATCCGGTTTATCACTACGGCTGGTACGCCCACAACGTCTAAAGTGAATGGAATGTACCCTCTGCTGTTATTTTTGGATGGAAAAGGTTCTGATATAGAAAACGGCTCGGCTAATGGAGACACGATTTCACTTCAATATCAGAATGTCGTAGATGATTTTTAATCATCTTTTCCTGCATTTTCTTTCCTCTAATTATTTTAAAAATGGTGATAACCTATTTTTTCATCCCCTGAGTATAACTATGACATGACTCCACTGAATAAAGTTTGACAGGAAAGTTCTATCACCGAAGTAAGGATGCAAGACGTCAAACAAAGATGAACAAGACAAGAAGCTGTGACGAGTCAATTGAGAGAAAAACAGACTGTTCACAAATTGCCAATGATGCACCACAAGCAAATGAAGCATCAGCTCACAGAATTTTGCAAAATGATGAAGCCACTCATACATCTTCCATCATCCCGGTGTGGGTGTCTACCAAGAATGAACCAGAGCATGAAGTTCTTGTTTATGCGCTCCTTGATACACAAAGTGACACAACATTCATACTTGAAGAAACCGCAAAGGCTCTACACGCGACAAGTAAACCAGTTCAGTTAAAGCTCACAACAATGTCCACAAGAAACGCAGTAGTATCCTGCCACAAATTATCTGGTTTGCAAGTGAGGGGATTTTACTCAAATAAATTAATTCCTCTACCAGTCACATATTCAAGAACCTTTGTTCCAGCCAATGTAGATCATATTCCCACTCCTAGAACAGCCAAAGTGTGGCCTCATCTTGAACACATTGCAAATGAAATTGCACCATTACAAAGTTGCGATGTGGGCCTTTTAATTGGCTACAACTGTTCTCAAGCTCTTGTTCCCCGACAAGTCTTGTCTGGCAAGGAAAACCAACCATTTGGACTAAAAACAGATCTGGGATGGAGTATAGTGGGCTTCGGCAATACATGTCTTGATTATGGAGATGATATTGGATTAAGTCACCGAATCATTGTGAAGCAAGTCATGCCAAGCATTAAATCCTCTTCGAATCTCAAGAGTGAAGTACACTATGTGAACAAAACTCAAACAAAGGAAATGGTCTCACCTGCAGACGTCATCGAGGTGTTGGAGTCTGATTTTGTTGAGAAGGTTTCGGAGGACATTAAAACGTCCCAAGAAGATATCAGATTTATGATGAAATTGAAAGAAAGCATCAAGCATCAGGATAATGGCCATGATGAGATGCCACTTCCATTCAAGACTGAAAAACCTGACCAACAACAAGGAGTGCACCATTCATCAGCTCAGATGTTTGGAAAGAAAGCCAAGAAGAAACAAGCAGCACTACGTGGATTACAAGAAATTCATGGAGGAAAACAAAGCCCATGGAGATGCTGAAGAGAATCCGGCGGCCAATGCCTCAAGAGGTCTGACGGCTAAAGAACTCATAACATCGAAGTGGTTCACAGGCCCTGGTCTTCTCTGGCAGAAAGTTCTATCCAGTGGTGAAATCAAGGTGGGAGAGACATCAGTTAGTGACCCAGAAGTTAAAAAGGTTTCAGTCCTCAATACTCAAGGTAACGAACAAAACTCATTGGGGTTGAGTGGACGCTGGCGCGTTTGGCTGCCGCTGCTCTCCCACAATTTTGTGTTTTTATGATGTTTTTACGCTCGACTGTTTTACTGTCCTCGCACCGAATTACTGTCTTCATACGACAATCACTTCACCCCAGCCCCCCAATCCGCTTCTGCTTTATACCCGTAACCATTTTCGACTGTCTTCGTCCCGGCGTCTCAGCGTCCTACCTGCTCGGCTCTCGGACCAGGCCACGCGCCGTCTCCGCTCCGTTGTGCCCCGTGATCGGGATTCACCACTCCCAACTTCTTCCAGCCACACCGGGTCAGATGTCATGTTACTTTCTTTGTTTCCGGGATTTGCATGAGAGGCGTACCTAACAGCCTCTCATTATCATATTGGCTCTATATAATCTCATAAATGTGTTTCTTCTACACTTCCTGATTCAAATCTGGAACCCTCAGGAGCCTGAATGGATTCGTAAACTGCAGAAAATAAATTAAAATCCTTCGAAGGAACTGTACATCGCCTCCAGCCTTTATTTGGATTACCAACATTCTCTTCGTCCGAAATTCAACGAACACGCGGGGAAGAGGAGGCCACTCTTCCCCCAACACCGCCATTCCGGATCCGTCAGGATTTCAAAGGAGAGATTGGGGTTTCAAAGGCATCCAAGTGGTCACGATGTTTGAAGGCTGTCCCAAGACTAAGTTGAAAATTTCAACTGTCTAAATGTTTGACCTCAGGATTCCATAGGAGGGTTTGGATTCCACATCAGGTCCTGATATTTGACAGTGGTTCTAAAATGGAGTAACATCGTCTTGGAACATGTCCTAAGTTAGGGATGCAAATAGAATAAATGCTTCAAGAACTTTCCATAGTAGCTGGTATACCTGAGCCACATTGACAGCTGCGGTTACTAATTAGTGAGGGTTTCCAAGGAGCGTTTAGGGTTGCAAAAGCTAATCTTGAAGCTGTCACGGTTTTCTACAGCTGTTCCAAAAGTTTGGAAAAGTTGAAAAAGTCAGCTTTCTGAATGCGTAACCTCAGGTTTTAAAGCAGTCAGGATTTCAAAGTAACGATTGGTTTCCACGTGGGGTCCTGATTTTTAAGGATGAAACAAAATACCATAGGTTTTAAAATGGCCTCAAAGCAGGCCAGGGAAGGGGACTTTGCCTTCCAAGCAGTAGTTGCAATGTGGAGTTAAACATTTAAGACCTTTCCCAGACCAAAACTTGATCCCAAAATCTCTTTTGCCAAAGTCAGGGGTCTGACCCGCTGAGGAAGGTTGAATGCCGCCATTCTGAATCCGTCAGGATTTCAAATGAGAGATTGGGGTTTCAAAATCTTCCAAGGGGTCACGATGTTTACAGCTGTCCTAAGACTGAGTTGAAAAATTCAGCTGTCTTAATGTTTGACCTCAGGATTTGAAAGGTGGGTTACGCTTCCATGTCAGGTCCTGTTTTTTTACAATAGTTCTAAAATGGAGTAAAAATAAATGCCAGGAGGTGTTTAAACATTTAAGCGTTTAAATGTAAAGGTTAAAATATTGAATTTTGCTCCCAAGCAGTGCTCTCAGGTCTCAGTAGCGGTTGAAAAATGCCACAACGCAAAATGTCCCAGCACAGGACATGATTCCAAAAACCTCGCATCCGAAGCCAGGGCTGAGACCCACTGAGTAATATTGACAGCTCCAGTTCCTGATCAGTCAACGTGTCAAAGGAGAATGTGGGGTTTGAAAGGCCTCCCCAAGTGTTCAAGAATTTTGAGAGCTGTGCCAAAATGTAGCAACATTCTCCTCCTCCGAAATTCAACGAACACGCGGGGGAAAGGAGGCTGCTTCCCCCCCTCCAACATTTTGTGACCCCGACGTGATTTCGGACTGAGGTTTTTGCCAACAGATGGAACATCGGGCCCATTATTGACAAGGTAAGAGGACATTTATCCTCTCAATTCATTTTCTGTCTGTTGGCTGAGATCGAGGTAAGGATTACATCTTGAATTGATATTCCAAAAAGATAAATTGTGGCTGGATGAACAGTGTAATGCGCAACTGTAACTTTGTTTTAAGAGATTCACGAATAAAGATAAAGAAGTTCGCGAATAAATAGATTTGCGGTAAAGAGGTTGACGAAAAAAGAGATTTGCAAATGAAGAAGTTTGCGAACAAGAGAAGAATACAGAAGTTTGCAATAAATAGAAATATTCGCGGATAAAGAGTACAGAGAAGAATACAGAAGTTCACGATAAAGAGAAATATTCGTGGATAAAGAGTACAGAAGTTCGCGGAGAAAAAAAAGGTACCCTGGATCGGGTACTCCTGTGCAAGAAGAGGTTCAAACAGAAGAAAGAGCAAGACAATAAAATTTACTAAACCAGAAAATCCAAAAAAAAAATTCCTAAACCAGAAAATACAAAAAAAAATGACTAAACCAAAAAATACAAAAAAAAATCACTCAACCAGAAAATACAAAAAAGTGTCAAATTGATGAACCTGACATTTTTGGGGGCTCGTCCGGGATCGCAATATACCTGACGCCTCCAGACGCTGAGTCAATGGCCAGGAAGACCGTGGCCACGGCTGAAACACCCTTTCCAGGACTGGGTTTCGGCTTCTTGTCTGGGGGCTGAGGGTTGACGCGAATCCAGAGGAGAGGACTACTCTTGGTAAGTAGGGCAGCGATGTCCTGTACGTACTTAAACTCCGCATTTATACTCTTTCAAAGGTTGAATGAGTGTTTCCGCGCCGGGTTTACAAAGACGGAGGTCGGGGTTGGTCTTTAAACCTGTTTTTAATTGAAACCCTCTCAGGACAGGGGTTGCAGATTTGTACCAACCAAGTACCCAGACTTCACCTGTTATGAGAACTTAATTTGAGCCTGAAAGGGATTTATTAAGGAGGAACTCTTTCAAAGCATTGAATGAGTGTTTGCGCGCCGGCTAAAGACAGAGTGGTCTTTAAAGCCGTTTAAAGCCTTGAGCCATACTAGTCCCGATCAGGCAGATAGACAGAGTTGAGTCTTTAAAACTGTTGGGGGTGGCGGTGTCCTGTACGTACTTAAACTCCGCGTGTGTATAGAACGGTACCTAGTTTGAATGTAATCGAATAAAATGCGCTTAATGAGTGACTGTGTAACTGTGTGAGTGGAGGTTTGCTACCTCATTAGAACAGGACATTTGTTGTGGCAACTGTCTGAGGAAGCAGATGCAAGAATTTCCCGCCACTTTGGTATACTTTGGGACACTTTAGTGGTAGAAGGTTGGAAATTACCTCAGTCGGAGAAATTGTCACCCTGTTCAAGGGAAAAGTCAGCATAGTTACCCTAGGTAAACCGCTGACTCTCAAATTTGCAAAATGGGGATAATAAATAGTAAGACCACAGATTAAAAGAATCCTAAAATGAAGTTAACATGTACAGATTGGAAATTCGTAGAGAGCCAATGTCCTTCAAAGATAAAACATCTAAATTTCTGGATAAAAAAATAAAATTTCGCTGGCCAGTTGAACCCACAAACATTAGTGCACCCGCAGGATAATATTAGAACTATGTGCGAAAATGACAGAGAGAAAATGGATATGGATGGGTTCGAAGACATTGAGTTCTTGATGTTCTTGGCTGAAAAGAGGCAGAACGTGAAAGAGGAAAGGGAATAGAGAAAGTTGAAAAAAGGAACGGGTCAGTGAGATGGAATTTAACCACGACAAGAGCGAAGGAAACGTTATGTTTCACAGGAGAGAGGATGATGAATTGGGACTGGTAGGTATACAGAAAGGAGTAAAACAGAAAGTGGAGAGAGAAAATGAGCTTGAGATGACATCCACAAATCCTGTTACACCATCATTGTATTCATCCCTTCCAACTTCGACATCTCCTTTCCACCATCCCCTCCACCCTCGTTTCGAGGGGGCCATCCAATGACCTCTAGGGGAAGGGGAGATTTGGGAGTGGAATTTACTCTCACATACACACGCACAGTGAACAATCTGCGCCGAAATAGGGGCAGAGGAATGTCAAGAAAGACGTGGGACAGATCCAGGGGAGATTATTTGTTGGTGTTGTGGGGCGAAAGGACACATTTCCCATGACTGTCCCAAGAGTAAATTTGTAAGCGCATGACGAGACATTCCTGCTTCTCAGCAAGAGATAGCAACTTTCCTTGATAGCTTCGTGATGGAAGGAAATTTTATTTTGAAGGAATGCGGAAAGGGATTGTTTGACGGCAAATTGTTGGTGTATATCGATATTTGGATGAGGTGAGGCGTTCTCGCAGATGACAAAATTAAAAGTTTGGAGATGCTTGACCTGGTTGAGAGTGGTAGCAAGGTGAATAATGAATATATATTTGAAGAAAGTGAACACGTGCAACATCATTAAGCAGGATATCTAAAGACAGCATTGTGGTAACTCGGCGTGAGTCACATAATGAAGCAAAGATGTCGAGATAATTTGCCGAAAATAGAATGCAATAGCATTATCCTAATTCAACCAAATGTGAATAATGATACACACATATGAAACAGGCACTTGTACTCAACATGTTAAATGTAGCATGTTTCAAATGCTTTTATTCGTAATTTTATTTTTGATTTAATATTTAGGGATAACCGACGAACACATGTACTTGCTGAGATCAATTACATCAAAAGCTGCAGTTCTCACAACCATTTTTCACACGAGGACTCCACAGACAGAAACACTTCTTCACAGTGCGAGGACTGTCTTCCTGAGCCAGTTACAACTTTGGATGAAGAGTCAGCATCTGATCTAACACCTGAAGAACTTTCATCGAAAGTTGATCAGACATTGCTCTGTTGTGATGGAGGCAGCTGCACAATCAACGGGTAGAGGTTGATCGTCTGTAAAATAAATTATATCACATACATGTATATAAAATGTTTACCTGTGGGCTTTTTGTTTTGTTATTACCATATGAATGGACATTATTTTTCAGACGACTGACAAGTTACTTGTAAATGTAGGCTCACTAAAATTTCTGCAGCTGTCATAGTATCTTCATGGTCGGCTTGATATCTGTGGGAAAAAAAAAATGGTGTTCGTACATCAGTCTATACTGTATTTTTCTTGGAATAAATTCATTTTCAAGACAAACTATGATTCAAAATCTGGACTACCATGTTCCAGGGATGCTTTTCCTGTAAAATTTAAAAATTAAATTTACAGATGTAAATTATAAATATGTAGTGATACATATATATATATAGAGAGAGAGAGAGAGAGAGAGAGAGAGAGAGAGAGAGAGAGAGAGAGAGAGAGAGAGAGTGTGTCATGTTCCGTATTCGACAGCAGGTGGCAGGCATTCATTCTGCCGCCTGCACACCTGTGGCGCATTTGTTCTGGATTACACCTGCTATATCTAGGCACTCCGGCTGTCAACTCATTGCCGGAGTATTGCTTGCCGTGCCACTGCTATTGCCCATGCTCGTATTGTCGTATCCGCACTCTATTGCTATTTCGCTACTATTTCGTCATCCCAGTGGGATTCTCTTTAACGCGTTGTTCTTCGAGTATATTGTCTTATCTTTTCCTTGCCGTTTTTTGCAAGCGCTTTCTTTTCCTCACGTTACATTATTTCCTGGTTCTCGTTTTGACCAGCGTTTTCTGTTTTCCTTTTGACGGTGTTTTTTCGTTTGTAATAAATATTTGTTAGAAGACAAGACCT